ATTTCTAGTTCCGCCACTGGGGTTACGGTTAAAATTACCGAAATACAGCTCTTTTCAAGCACATTATTAATGACATGTTCCAATTTCACCCTCTTCAATAAAGTCTAAAAGTACAAGTTTCATATCCTCTTTTATTAAATCCTTTTTTTAGTGGTGGGGATTAACTTTTTCGTTGGGATCCCTGTCCCACGTAGCAAAATATACAATTTAAATAGACGCTATATACTTAAACCAGCTTCCGCCCGGAATCAAGAGCCCCACCCCTTCCCCCGGAGAAAATGTCTGACAGTCCTGCCCTCATCTTTAAATCCTCCGTCCCGACAATATTGTACGGAGATCTATATGTGTAGGGCCCGCATAGCTAGCCCGAAGACCTGAGTTCGGATCTCGGCTCGGACTTGTGACTGTGTGACGTCTACCCAACTCTAAAAGGTACCTGACTTATGTTAGGGTGAGGCGGCTGGGCATAGTTAATAAACATCTGAAATCTACTTCATCTGCCCAATGGATCGTTATGTCTAAAGCGGAATTTTACTACATAGCTATTGCGCACCTAAGCCATTTCAGTTTACACCTGAATCAATACTTCTATATCGCCATAGTGTAGGTAGATCTAGGAATGTGGAAGCTTTAGATTTAACACACGCACCAGATGTTGCTCAGGTGATGTGGGCACTCTGGCCAGTGATACAAAAATTGGATATTTTGTTTTGTCGTCTGCTTGGGGGGAAAATCGATTTTTGTCAGTTGTATTGAGCACACAAGCATAGATTAGCAATAAACATATTTAATATGTTGTGTTTATTGGATATGTGTTAGACTATGTTGTTTTAAGGTAAGGTGTTATAAAATCGTAACTTATTCGTTTTAAATACAAATTAAGATTTTTTAAAAGATAATCTTATAAGCCTGCGTCTATTTCAGCTAACCCGAATTATATTCCCCCTCATTAATTAAAGATAAGTATTTCTTTGGAATAAAATATATGGACTTTTTTTTTTAATAGTTTGAAATGATGTAAATGAATTCAGCGATAAACGACAGGTGACGCATACCTTTTGTCGTCTGTTAATAATTCAGGTTTTTCCTATGAGTTACCTGGCTGGGAAAATACGCCAAATATCGACGTCACATTTTTCTGTGCGCTAGACGGTACATCGCTAGCGGGAGGAAAAGTTTAGTTTGTACCATTGTAGACAAATGTTAACGATTTCAGTCAAATATTAGCTATTTCAGTCAAGTGTTAGCTATTTCAGTCAAATGTTAACAATTTCAGTCAAGTGTTAACAAGTCAAATGTCAGCTATTTCAGTCAAATGTTAACAATTTCAGTCAAGTGTTAGCAAGTCAAATGTTAAATATTTCAGTCAAATGTTAACTATTTCAACCAAATTCTAACATTTTCATCAATGCTTTAAAAAATACTTAATATATTGATTTTGAAAGTATTTATCTAGTCCGAGTTATACAAAATAAATAGGATAAAAATTAGTTTAAAACCAAATGAAAAAAAAATTAGTTAAAATAAACTTTCACTTGTTATAGAAAAATAAATTCACTGGAGTTCGACTTCTAAGGTAATTGAGATTTTCATTCTTTTAGTTTGTATTTTTGGTCTTAAAAATGTTTTAATTAATCAAATTTTTAATCCAGTTGATTAAATTTTCATTCAAATCTGACTCTCCAGCACGATTTGAATCTTCGTGTGTATTTGACAATGTTGAGATAAGAAGGACTTATCAGGAGAGGGCATCTATTTTTAGGTATTAGTTCTTTGAAAATTAGTTCTTTGATTTGTTACTATACAAATTGTCTTTTATTTTTTTTACAAGCCCGGCCTAAATTATTTACATATTTTTATTTAAAAGTAAGAAACTCGAAAGTAAGAAACGCAATATAAAAAGAAATACAAAGGTTCATTAGAAAACGTTAACACAAAACAAAATCATAATAACTACAAACATGGGTTTGATTTGTCAATAGTCATATAGACTATAGTCTATAGACTACTTTTGAAAAAAAATCATCAATTACTTGTAACATTTATAAACCCCACACATTTATAATAAGTTCTCTGATAATATCAACCTATGCTAATATGGGCATTGCTAAATATTTTGTGATGGTATTACGGGACAGTGAGGGAGAGTGAAGGAGGGGAGGGGGTGGACTACATGTGTTACTCGGTTAAGATAAAAGACAATCCACACGGCGGTTGAAGGGGGGGGGGGGTCACAGACCTACTCAGATATTGCAACATCTGTTATAACTGTGCAGTTGAATCTAAGTGAACGCTACACAGATGTGCTAGTTAAATAAGAAAAGTGAATAGTTTCCCCTTATTGAATGCCCAACACTGTGTTTAACTTTCTACTATTTCAAGATGTCGGTGATGATTTTTTTTCTGGTTTTTGCGAATCCACGTTTAAAAGTTTATATTTTCCACGTCATATGAATTGGAAAGTTGGTCAGTTTTAGGCCTAGCCTAATGCTCTAACTTGAGTCCGGTACGATCAGATATGTGATGACGTGTACAATTCTCTATGGCATAGTTGGCGATCTAAGTCAGCAGTGCGACAATAGAGACTGAATTAATTCAATAAATTGGCTTTCTCTGAAGGAATGGGATGTTACTAGATTTAAGAACATACTCGAGGAAGTCTTGAGAATGAATAAAGCTTAAACTAAAAGTCCATTTTAGTACCGATGCATCATACATTTGATTGTAAGAAAAATAAAAAAGTCTCTTGCTGATGAAAATAATTTAAAATATATCAGATTAATTTATTAAAGTTTATAATGCGATAAAATAGTGGGTTTAGAAATCAACACTTTGCCGTTTTTTATGACAATGATAAGTTGCCAATGAACGTAAACCTCAAAACATTTATTAACAGTTTAATGATAATAATAATGATAATTCGGATAGAAACGTAAATTAGCTGATGAGGTCTGAGACTGACTATGGTTTTTTTCTAAAATAGGCCACATATTTAAAAAATAACAACTGTTATGCAAACTAACATTGAAAAAAAATTGTTGAAGTAAAATATAAGAATTTTGAGAATAAGCACATGAAATAATTTCAAAATTTTGATTTCTTCATTTTTTGTCTTCATACAACTATAGCCAGTGTGTTTTCAATACATATTTCAAAGTAATTTTCTCCATGATTTTTCTGGCGAATTCATTATATTGAAGTCATTGCAATTTTATGTAGGTTTATATAACAGTCAAATGTTTTTATACATTTTTCTCGTGTTGTTAACATTAATTGTATAAACCGATTTTCAAATCAGTTTCAGATTTAATCAATCTAGGTTAATTAATTAAATGGAGTACGCGGACACCGTGCCTACCATATCAGGAAGTGACGTCATCATGGCTTACGGTGACCACCAGGTGGAGTTCGAGGAGGAGCCGCGGCGCTGCAGTTGGTGCACGTGCTTCTGCTTCAGCCGTTACACGCTCTTCGTCATCAACTTCCTGGTCTGGGTGAGTCTTGGTGTGTTTGGGAGGGGGGGGAGCTGAGATTTGGATCGCCGCTGTTAGTTTTAAAATGAAATTTATATGATTCACCTAGGTCACGCAGTCCCAATTAGCGTAGATAATGTTTAAAAAATATAATAATAAATCATTCAAGAAAGATAACTAAACGTTAAATTTTCTTATTCGAGAAATACTTGGTTAACTCCCTTAGACAATTTCGTCCTAACATTTGAATTACTAATTCAAAATTAAAATTTGCATCTGAATAACAAAAGGGGAAGTAATTCAATTATAGCCGGTATGTTATAGAATTTTATCGCTTTGTGTGAGTGCTGGAAAAATGCACAACCTACTCAATACAGTAATTTTGGTCGAGTTAACAAGCCGATTTTATTTCCTACCGCTCAGGCTGCCGGTGTGACCATGGTCGGACTAGGGGCCTGGGCAATCGTCAACAGCTCCGGCCTTGACCTTTTTGAGGCGCTGCTGAAAGAACCCAGTTGGCTGATGATCGCTACTGGCATCGTGATGATCATCGTGGGCGTGGTCGGGTGTGCCGGGGCGTTACGGTTGAACATCATCTGTCTGAGGGTGGTGAGTATTGGATGTCGTGGTTCAGTGGATGTGGTCTGTTGTCTGGGGTTAGTACTGGTTCAGTTTTCTTCTTCTTCTTCGTTCTTAATTTTAGTGTTAGAAAGAATTCCCTACAACACCATTAAGTATACGTGTCAACTGGTTATGCGCCATTTAGGCCATTGACACCGATTTCAGTCTGCTTTTATTTTTGGATTTGCTTCCATAGCCTTTGTCCAACCAAGAACAAACTACAAGGCAGCAGTTGTTTTTGGAGTTGTCTTCTCTCTTAGAAGAATGGCTATTCCAAATTTTTGAGCCTCATACTCGAACTCGAGCTTTACAGACTCGACGACGCCGACCTCTATGGTTCGGTGAATGTGGTCTAATGACTGAGTTTATTCAATGAATGTTGTCGGTTTTTCGGGGTTAGTCATGGCTGAGTGAATGTGGTCTGTTGTATGAGTAAGTCATTGTTCGGTGAGTGTGGTATGTTGTCTGAGATAAGTTATGGTTCTGTGTACCTGGCGTGGGTCTTATGAGTACAGTTTTGTGGTAACGAACGTTTCTGCTCCTGGATTTTTTTTCTACTCACATATCTAAGAACGACTCATTGTTAGTAAACTATCAGCCCCTCTACATAATTGTAATCATTTGTTACCTTGACCTTCACAGTTCATGGTGTTTGTGATCGTGGTGTTCGTCCTACAACTGGTGTTGGCTGGGGTGGTGTTCTTCATGATGGACGACATCCAGGGCAACATGCTGTACATCGTCAAGGTGGCCGTCACCAAATACGAGAGGGACCAGAACATTGCCAGGGACGCGTCTATAGACTATCTTCAGCAGCAGGTACTAGCTGTATGCCCAGTGGTGGAAGTTTAAAATTGGCATTGGGCTGTTTGCTCATTATCAGGATATTACAAACATCAGAGTTTGTACCGTGTTTTACTTTTTCATGTTAGTCTTTAAATGGTCAACTCAATATCAGCATTTTTACATTTTGCTTTACATTGACCACATGAGAGTTAATTCGACTAAAGTAAATAAAGTAATCGATAATCTATTCATCTACCAACTTGAAGCAAAACTTATTCTCTAGATCAGGGGTCTCCAAACTACGGCCCGCGGGCCGGATGCGGCCCGCGAAGTCCTCTCATCCGGCCCGCGGAGATCTTTTTGTCCAAGGAAAAATCGTTTGTTGGTGATGGCTGAGGAACTTTGCCCATAAAAATCAAAGACATGCCTGGAAGAAACTGGCCCCCGAACTAAAATTTGATAGTTAATGCGGCCCTCGGACTGAAAAGTTTGGAGACCCCTGCTCTAGATTATGTTGTTTAAACTCAAATTCTTAAGAAAAAAAATCAAGACAGATAACTAGCTTTAAATTATCTAAATCAAGAAATACTTGGTTATTTCCCTTTGACCATAATATCGTTAGTAGTTGTTTTGTAAGGATCCCTTTTGTCTTTGTCCTTTTTTGGGACCCATTTTGTGTTTTATTTTATATGGACCCCTTTGGTCTGAGTCGTTTTGTAGGGACTCCTTTTTCTGAGTTGCTGAGTAGCGGTCCCTACTCTCTATATCATGTTTATCCAGTTCACCTTGTAAACGCCCACCTCACCCCCGTGTCTCCCCACCCCACAGTTCCAGTGCTGCGGCGGCTCCAGCTACTCCGACTGGGACGCCAACCGCTACTACAACTGCAGCAACGTGTTGACCAGTTCCCGCTGCGGCGTGCCCAGCTCCTGCTGCATCGACAACCGGATGGAGGACTGCGGCTTCCAGATCCGTGGATCATCGGTACGTCACATCCTAGGGTTTGTTACGTCACACACTAAGCTTTGTTACGTCACACACTAGGGTTTGCTACGTCACATCTTAGGGTTTCATTGAACTCTACAACAGCGAGGGCAATTGGTTGCACGTACACACACAAACAAGTAGATCTATATAGAAATCTTTACAAAATAAGATTTCAAATGGAATTAAAAAAAAAAAAACATACTCGCTTTCCTTCGTGTACTTGTGCGCTTACTTGTACGTGTACTTGTATGTATATATAACTCATGCACAGTATACTTATCTGAGATGTTGACTTCTTTCAGGTAGAAGATATCAAAGCTTACATCTATACTGAAGGCTGTATTGTGACGTTAATGAAAATATTCAGGAACAATGTCACCATTGTAGCTGCTCTGGCATTCAGCGTCTGTGGAATAGAGGTATGCTAGACGTATATATGTATATATGTATATATGTATATATGTATATATATATATATATATATATATATATATATATATATATATATATATATATACATATATATATATATATATACATATATATATATATATATATATGTATGTATATATATATATATATATATATATATATATATATATATATATATATATATATATATATATATATATATATATATATATATATATAGTATATATATATATATATATATATATATATATATATATATATATATATATATATATATATATGCATTTATATTTATATAAATTTATATTTGTATTTATATATTGATATTTGTATTTATACTTTTTATAGGTGTTTGTATACACATTTAGCACCGATAATCTTTACACTTAGACTTACATTTTAGACTTAAATCACAAGTTGAGGGATGGGGATTTGGGTTAGGGCAAGGGTGTGCTTATGTTTTTGTGACTGTACAAGGCGTGGGGAGTGGGTAATCAAGTGCTGCTGTATTGTTATGGTTTCACATTTTTTGATAAATCACGTTATCATCAACTGGCTCCAGCAATATTTTGTTGTTATTTTTTAAAAAGGCAAGAAGGGGGGGGGGGGTGGTAACGTCATTGTAGAGTGGGAGTGGTCTTACTTATTGTGACGATATGAAACAAGGGGTGGGGGTGGGTAAAATCTTTTAAAAGCGTGACGTCACGTGTAGACCTACCTTTAAAGTTGACACTCGGCGCATGAGTCCCTTCTCCCCCACCATTTGTGCGCCAACCCTGCTCGGGTTGTCATCACCAAACCAAGGGGCAGTCACTCTGATATCATTTGAGAGTTACCTTACTGCATGTTTCAGATCCTCTGTTTGATCCTGGCCAACATTACCAGCCGTTACATCATCGTCCATCGGAAACAATTTAGCTGAGTCAGCATCAACAATTCTTGATCCTGGCCAACATTACCAGCCGTTACATAATCGTCCATCGGAAACAATTTAGCTAAGTCAGCATCAACAATTTTTGATCCTGGCCAACATTACCAGCCGTTACATAATCGTCCATCGGAAACAATTTAGCTGAGTCAGCATTAAATACTGAACTTGTCATTAACATCTCAGCCTAACAAAAACAGCTAATTCAGTGGGACATAGCTGTAAACTATGATCAATTTAAAACCACACCACCAGCGTAGCTGTAACATATCTATTACTTATATCTCTTAAACGAGGAACTTGCTTTGTATTATACAAATATTTATTATTTAGTTGATGTAATTATAATTAATATACATTTTTGTATGCTTATAAACAACAAGATTAGGTTGTATAAAAAAACACAGCTTTGGTTGGACTTGACTTAAAATAAAAAGCAACAACATAAGACGTTGATAAAATTATAGTTTACATGTAATTTAATTGAAATAGTATACAATTGTGTCTTGGCTATTTCAAGGTGTGTTTCAAATATTTAACGGGTGAAGTGAATGATTAATTGAACTTCATCCTGAAGTGAATGTTGTATTGTAAAAATCAAAATATTGTAACACAACTCGTAGTGCAGACGTTGTACACACTAATGATATGGGCTCTGTTGTCTACTAAACTGTGTATCACGCCACGTTGTAAATGTATATATAAATATTTATTAAGCTTTTATCTGTAGATATAGAAATTGTGTGCTATAAACACACCATTAGTCACCAATGAAAGGTTTTGTTACTGATACAACTTATGGAGTAGACACCAAAGTCTAATATTTATATACATAATTGTTCGAAAAGTATTCTTGAAACTAATAATAATTCTATTGTATTATTTATATGTAGCTTTTAGTTGTATGTATTAAACAGTCATATGTTTTTTTTGTTTACTACATTTTATTTACTTTATTTTCAAACATTAACATGTATATTACTAAATACAACAAATATAAATTTCAATAGGCAATCAAGATCTACATATGTGTAAAGTTTGTATCAAATAAAAATCGTCACAAAAACTGACTACAAAATTTAGCCTCAACTCTAGACTCATCCCTAACGCTAACCTTAACCTTTAGTTTAGGAACTGTTACTAAATATTGTTGAAACATCTAAAGAGAGTTTTATTTTTTTTACTTTCATTGAATTTATAAGTTTGTTATCACCGGTAGTATTTTTAATACAAATGTTATTGTATCGTTATTCTGTTCGATTAGAGAAACGAGTTACCAGTTTGTAGTGCTAATAAAACGCCACCTACAAACTACATGTCACTAAGAGAAATAAGTTCACACGATAGGAATTATAGTGTCGGTTGTTTTTATTACTTTTATCAATCATGTACAATTTAAATAAATCACATTTTATTTCAAATGTATTTACAAATCAAATTTATATATATCGTCCCTTGAAATAACTATTCACAAATTTGAATTTAGTCTGGAAAATAAAAGTAAAATAAATGACATCAGCAGATCATGTGACAACAAATATAAATAGCATTTTTATCAGGGGCAGGTAATTCACTGTACTGAAACAATTAGCCAGCGTTAAAAAATTTCTGAAATTTTTGCATAAAAAATAATTATTACAACTCTAAAGCAGCGAGTCATAGCATTCCTCGCTCACTACAAATCATATTGCACAATAAATGAAAACGTTAAACCATCTTCGAACCTTTTCGAATTTAATAACACGTCCACTATCCATACGAACAGACTTGCTTTCAGTCTCTACACCCCAACCAACGCCGCCTCAAAAGATACGTTATATATATATATATATATATATATATATATATATATATATATATATATATATATATATATATATATATATATATATATATATATATATATATATATATATATATATATAAATATATATATATATATATATATATATATATATATATATATATATATATATATATATATATATATATATTTACATACAGACATTGAGTAACCAGTGTCAGGTCTACCCCACCGCCGGAAGAAAAATATCTGAAATAAATTCAGCAAATAAAAAAAAAAGCAACAAGATTAGCGTCACACCACATCCGTGACACATGGCTAGCTTGTATCGTTTGCCAATGTTAATAACGAGCACTTCATTACATGTCCCACAATATGTCATTTTTCATCACATCGACTGTAACTTGAATCCTCAAATCTTAAATAAATTACTACAAATAAAACCTTAAAACAATTTAAAAAAAAACAGGAAAAAAAAACCTGAAAAGATATCTGCGCTGAGAATGTTCATCCAATAAAGAATGATAAGCTGAAGAAATTGATCTTTAATACAATTTGTACTGTCCTTGAATGTATAACATTTTTAAAAAAATTGTGTTATTCCTTCTTGTAATCTTATCCATGTTTTTAAATTGAGCTCTTAACTTTCTTTTTATTTTCCATTTGTTGCCCGAGGGGCGCATTAGAACAAACAACAACAGACCTAATTTGATGAGCATCGTGTAATATCATTTGCCTGGTCATTAAGTTAATTAACTTTTATAATTACGCTTGTGTTTTGGATTTAATTAATTAGAACATTTTTCTTTGTATTGTTCCAACCAGTTTTTAAAAAAAAACTGTTAATGGATTTTTTTCTTTAATGTAAAGATGGATTCATGAAACGGAAATTAAAATATTCTTGAACAGCCTTACCTTTCTTATAGTCAGTTTTGAAAACAAGAATACTTCAGCTCTGATTTTTTAACATAGGATATATATATATATATATATATATATATATATATATATATATATATATATATAATAGTGAACAAAGAAATATTTTTCTACTACTCCCTGATCATGGTTAGCAGCTTAAATAATATAGTTAATTCCCATTTGCACTGAGTGATCGCCCGCTGTACAATCCACAATGAAGAACTATTGTAATGGCTTTAATGTGCTGATGTCTTAAAAAAGCCACAATGACCTTACCTTGTTTACACAGGGGGGTGTCTTTACACGTGTAAGATAACATTGATGTGATTGTATCAGAATATTGGGAAATCTGTTATTTTACAATGTAGCTGGATTATACGGTCGAGAGGCTCACAATGCCGTACTAGTGAGACGCGTGTAGAAATGTCAACAGAACCATGGGAGTGTCGCTGTTTAAATCTTAAAACAAGGGCATTAGAATAACTTATCAGAGCACTTGGTTTAATCTTCGCTTTGTGATTGAAGACGCAGTGCTGTGAAAACTGAACCGAGGATTAACCCTACCACTTAGGAGATTCTAGGCTGGGATTAGACCTCACAACTACAACAAGGCGTGCTGGGATTAAGGCTGCCTCACCGCTTTGAACTGATGAAACCGTGCGGAAAACGCCGCTAATGCCTGTCAACAACATGGTCTTTTGTTCATCGTCGCATCGATTGGTATCTGATCAACCCCAGCAAATGGAGTCTCACTTAACGGTCGCACTAAATGGTCTCACTAAATGGTCTCACTAAATGGTCTCACTTAACGGTCGCACTAAATGGTCTCACTAAATGGTCTCACAAAATGGTCTCACTAAACGGTCTCACTAAATGGTCTCAGTAAATTGGCTCAGTAAATGGTCTCAGTAAATGGTCTCACTAAATGGTCTCAGTAAACGGTCTCACTAAATGGTCTCAGTAAACGGTCTCACTAAATGGTCTCAGTAAATGGTCTCAGTAAATGGTCTCAGTAAATGGTCTCAGTAAATGGTCTCAGTAAATTGTCTCACTTCTTTTGACTCTTTAATGGGTTAAAGTCCGTAGAGCGTCCTCGAGTCCACCCAGCTCTGACGGGTACCTGACTCATGTTAGGTTAAGTAAAAGCGACTGGGCATAGTGCTGACCACATTATACCTTTATATGCCGAGGTCACCTACACAGGTGAACTCTAATTCACTTGCATCATGGACCGTCAGGTTCGAAAAGGAACTTTACCGAACCCCAACCATTAAAACCACTGCCAACCTTCTCCAGAAAAACAACACCTGAACCCTAGCCTCATTCACCTAGTCCACTTATGAACTAATCCAGATGGATAACAAATTACCACTGAACTACAACAAATCTCTAACATGATGGGTCATACATTTGCTGTCCATGTATACAGACGTAGATCTGAACTTAATCTGAATAGACACAGGCTTGCTATCCACAGACGGATCTAGGTAGCACATTGAGGGCGGGGTGGGTGGGAGTCTACCTCATAACACCCGCCCCCTTTTTTTTCATCATCAAAAAGTATTTTTTATAATTTTAATTTGTTTTGGGAACCATTAGGTTATCGCAAAATTATTTCGACTTTAAACAACCTGCCATTTTATGATATTTTATATACGTCTGTATATAATAATATATAATAATAATATATATTTTATATATTTTATATATGTCTGTTCTTAGTGTAGATGTTTAGCTGGTACTGTCTTGGCCGTTCTGTCACGCTGTAGGATTGACATTTAAATAATAAAACCACATTTTAAGAAGTAGGCCTATTTGATTCGATAAAATATCAAGAGAAATCTGGGCTTTGAGTGGCCGCTAACTACTTCCACTTTCGTGAGCGTCGCCCTAGCGTGTTTTTGAAAATAAAAAATTCACTGTTTTCGAATTTAACCGTTTAAAGTTTATTTTTTAAAATGTTGGTTTGAAACTACTAAACAAGTAAGAGGATTATTCACAGACGTGTTCGATAAATTGACTTAAGAGGATCGACTTATCGTCTTTTTTTCACACACTTTATTCAGAGCTTGATAAAATGTTTTTAAATTGACGTGAAAAGCTACTGCTATAGAGAATTTATTCACTCCGTTCATTGTTTGGTAGATCTAATTTTTCCTCTGTTTTTCATCATCATCATCTTTTCCCGTTCTTACTCAATACATGATGAAGTAGAGTTTATTTATTACAATGACTTCGGCATCCGGGGGGAGGGGATGTGGTCAGCAGTACGAACAGCCCCTTACTTTCCTTAACGTGAGTTAGATACCCATCAGACCTGGGTAGACTCAGGGATGCCCTGGAGCCCCGGGACCAGGATCCGAGCTCGAGACTTTTGGGTTAACAGTCGTGGGCTCTTTCATCCGACCACGCCATTCTCGCTTTGTTTTTTAATTAGGTAAAATTGTTCTAGATAATGTATTTTACTTCACGGCATAATGTAAACCCGACTTTACACTAACTCAACTAAAACTTTACCAATTCAGCTTTACACTAGAACCACTACAATGCTTCTCCATTTAAAGAAGAAAAACAAATAAACTTTTCGCAATAGTCCTACTTAATTTTCTAAATTTGTTTTGATTTAATAAACAATTAAGCTCATAAATTATGCTACTGTTTAATTGCATTTTAATTTTTGCAGTATCAATTACGCCAATTAGCAGGATTATAATCCTTTTCATACTAACTTTCAAAAAGCTAATTAGTAATTTTTTTTGTTCAAGAGTAGATCGAGTGTTAAAACGATCTGATATTTTATAAGCAAAATCTCTATCATTGGCCCAACTTGACAGAGTATTACAGTAATAGCAACTATTTTGTTGAATTGTTTTTCACTTGTACGGAGAGTTGTGTTACAATTAGACTCAACCTTGACATTTGTGTTTCGAAATGTCCACCAGACGTGGATGCAGACGTCAGTAAATATTTAGCTAGGGCAGCGTTGACAGGTCGCTTGGCATTGAACGTTGACAATAAATGCTGTTGCCATTTTTCAGGGTATTCGTTTATTTTGTTGACAGTATGTTAAAGCTATTTTTGGAATCTCTGGGCAATGTTAAACTCTCTATGTGTAGGACATCTTACGTCTGGTGAGGGAGGGGGGGGGGGGAAGGTTGGAGAGGTTGGGACAAACAAAGAAGACAACTGAAATCTTGTTTCTAAACCCACAACTATTTAAATCCATTTCGCTATCAGCCCATAACGAGTACATAGACAAGACACATGTCGACGTCATCGTTTGAATTGCTAGCCCCCCCCCCCCCACCTGCAAGTAAGGGTATTCAGAGCTAGAAAGAGCTGACGTTTCAACATGAGCTCATCTGAAGTGTTCAATATTTTAAAACATCAGTTAACATTAACCAGCTGTAAATTTATTATGGTCAGCGTATCGACAAAAGGTCTTCGTCACATTTAAAACGGTAAAATGAGAATGTGATGACTATATATATATATATATATATATATATATATATATATATATATATATATATATATATATATATATATATATATGTATATGTATGTTAAAAATGTGAAATCTTCCCTGACCAACTCCCGCCTGCCTAGGCATCTGGAAATGACATAAGTGTTTATTAATTTAATCACAGACGTTAGCTAATTAGCTGTCTATTGAAGCTAAAGAAGACAAAGTGGTGAATTAGTGGCTTTGTCAAAGTTCATTAATTTACTTGTTGAACGATTTAAAAATCAAAGTTTACAATTTTAAACTTTGTCATAAACTTTGAACAAAACGTATCTATGACTATGAGAGTCATCTATTTAAAATATGATGCATATATTAATCATATGTGGGTCTTCTAAAAGTAACTGCAATAAAACCAATTTAATCAAATGGTTTAATGTTCTCATTTTTTTTTCTTCAAATTTGCAATATCATAACAAAAGAACATACTACATGTATAATGCCAAGGTCACAGTTTGTCTTTGTCTGATTAAATGATCAAGTTCTACTCCTCAATCTAAATCAGCCACAGATTCACAAAACAAAATTCATTAGTCTCTGAGCTCACATTCAGTAAAAAAAACAAGGCTGTTTACAAAATCTTTACTTTAGCATCTCGCGTATATCAATACGCCCCCTTTCTCCTTCCAGGATGTGACGTCATTTCCTGTATTTATTTTTACGTCATGCAGGCAGACATTCAAGGGAGACGAGCCACTTTTATTTTTGTTTCTAACATGTTACATTTTTACGACGTATTATGATACATCAGGGAATTTTGTAAGAATCCAGGGTCAAAAATTTACTTTGATATCTTGATCAAAATAAAAAAAAAGAAACATTATTTGGCTGAAAACAAAGTCCCACTTAAATAGAAGGTCACACGATCAAAAAGTCAGAGAAGTGGAACAAATTTTGTTAATAGAGTTAAGCATCTGAAATACTGAATAATGTGCATTTTACCTTTTAAACTTGAATGTCTACTGCACCACACTTATTATATATATATATATATATATATATATATATATATATATATATATATATATATATATATATATATATATATAAACATATCCATGTTCGTTATGTAATAAGTATTAGGTCATTCCGCCATTCCTGTACTTCTATAAATAATCATATTGTGCTTTAAACATTAAAATAAAAGTTATTTGTGTTTTACTTGCAAAATTGAATAATCAGAGCCTATTTTCCAGTCAAAGAAAGAGAGAGATGTCAACAAATTAAGAGACAACTCCTGAAATATTGGAGGGTGTAAGTCCACCGAACCAAACTTAATTTTTTTAGAAAATATACACTTTTACCACAGTCCGTTCCCCAGCCCTCTTTCCCGGAAAGTTTATTACGCCCCCCCCCCCCCCTCCCAAAAAAAAATCAAGTTCACCCCCCCCCCCCCGGAGAAAAAATTCCCGAAAGAAACACTGGCCCTGAGTTTGTTTGAAGATTTAGCCCTGAACTGAGAGTTCTACAACTGGATAGTTCTATAACAGAAGATAAAACAAGATACATTCAGAATGTTGCATGATTCTTAAAGTGAGAAAGTATTTACATTGGCTACACCAAAAGGTTGTTGGCTACTTATCAATGCTGAAGTAATGATCAAACATGACAGATGATAAAATATCCAAACAAATTACACATGAAACAAAGTTTTATTTAAAACAGGGATGTGCATATATTTTGTTGGTCTTAACGTCTCAGCAATGTGCGTCATGCAGCACATAGTTGTGTAGTAATACGCACCAGTCTAACGGCACTGATAAAGTCTTGAAGTAATGCTTACATTTTGTAAGGTAAATAACACCTTTTGTAAGGAGTTCAGCACTTAAAACATTAGATTCCACTCGGCATATGTTCAACACAATTTATCCTCTGAAACTAAGTATGTGCTTCGATACATTTAACACATTAAAAACATTGCCTTGAAACAATTCACACGTGAACTGCTCTTGGTTTATTTTTTTAATTTCCATTTCTGAAAATTTACACCATTGTTGTTTAATCCAACATTATCTTTGTAATCTGTTTTCTCCGAAGGTTTTTAAAATCCGAAGATCTGTCACTTACGCTAATATTTTAAGTATATATCAGCAAAACAATCATGAATTTTTAGTTTTTTTAGCCATAGCCAAATTCACAACAAGGGGCGTAACTGTAATAACCAAGACTGTGATTCACACATCAGAAGACATAAGGCAAGCCCGATGGTTGTCTCCCCTCTCTAGCGTCTGCGCCAGGTTGATGGGGGGCGCTGCAGGCGTCCCCTCCAGGTCATCGTCGTCTGACGAGTTCCGCTGGCACCTGCCCTTGAACTTTGACCGGATATTGCAGAGAAACGATCTCGTCCTCCTACGGAAGCTTGGCGAGAAGACGAGATATATATACAGCTTGATAGCCCACTCGAACCGGCTCAGGTATAAAAATATGGGCTGGAGGTTAAGGCCGAAGTGCCCGAAACTCGATGACATCATCCCGTAAATCCGCATACAACTGAGAGGCAAGCGAAGAACAAGTATGATAAAAACAATGGGAAAAATGACGTTCGTGACGCGAATCGGCGCGCGGATAGAGTAACTCCGCGCAGACCCGTTCCGATTGGAGACTTCCGCTGCGGACGATATCCGGTAGTACTCGCAGCCCCGAAAGCAGATGAGAACGACGAGGAGGACGAGGATGAAGCTGGGCAGGATGCTGACGAAGATGGAGTCAAGCGTCATCAGGACGCCGTAGTCGAAGCGGAACTCCTTCCACTCGCGACAGAACATCATAGACCCCAGCTGCAGGGGCCCCGTCATGTAGATGACGTAGTAGTAGCAGGTCCCCGTCATCACCGCCATGCCTGGGGGGAGGGGAAAAATTATCAATCGTAGATCATTATCCATACATCGTTAATCGTAATCATAAATCATAGATGATACATTGTAAATCATCAATCATTGATGGTAAATCGTAAATCATCAACAGTAAATCATAAATAGTAAATCCCCAAGCGCAAACCGTAAATCATAAATCATCAGTCGCAAATCGTAAATCACACATCACCAATTATAATCACACATTTTTAATTAGAAGTCTTATGTGATTTATACGAATCAATATTTTCAATACGAGAAATACTGTTTAAGTACGGCGTGGTCAACCACTAGCGCGCACACATCAAAAGTTTTATTCCCTGACTTGTATGATATCCTTGAGTTCACCCAGCTCTAATGGGTACCGGGGGCTTACGGCAGAAGGGTATTCAACTGAATAAAGTATTCATTTATATTTTAAAGTCAGAGAAAATGTTAACTTATTCCATCTGCCTCATTGGTCTTCAGGTCAGATAGAGTAACCTTCACAATAGTTTGACACATTAGGTGAGCGAAACATTACTTTATGGCTGTACAGTCTAGGTATAACAAAAGACAATGAAAAACACTTTTGGACCTAATGTTGGAATCTCCAGGGGAAAACGAAAGTAGCCAGGCCAAGGCAATCCTGGAGTAGAACATTAGAAGTAGAGGCAAGGGCTGCCGGCTAAAGTGCGCGCATTTAAAGAGAGCCAAGGGCTGCCGGCTAAAGTGGGCGCATTTAAAGAGAGCCAAGGGCTGCCGGCTAAAGTGGGCGCATTTAAAGAGAGCCGCTCAAAACTGAGTCCGGTGGAGAGGTGTGGCTGCAGCCCTTTGCTCCCATAGGGTCAACCCAGAGGCGTAGCGATGGGGGGGGGGGGGGGGTACACATGTCGCCGGGCGCCAAATTGAAAGTTTGTCCCCGGGCGCCGACCCTAGGGGCGCCAAATTGAAAGTTTGTCCCCGGGCGCCGACCCTAGGGGCGCCAAATTGAAAGTTTGTCCCCGGGCGCCGACCCTAGGGGCGCCAAATTGAAAGTTTGTCCCCGGGCGCCGGGCCACACAGGAAGAAAGAAAAGAAACTCGACCCACCAACATTATATATTGATCAATTGTAAGACAATTGGTATAGCTACTGGGCTCATTATTTAACCAATTTAAACGGAGGCAATGTATAAATAGAAACAGTTGATGTGATTTTTTTTTGTCGTAATAGCACCGCAGTGAAGGCTAACTTGCAAATCTGCAAAACATCATCTCCTACCAGCTGAAACATCGTATCAACGTTGATAAGCCCACTAGTACATGCCATATACTATCTGGGATTTAAAAATCATCTGCCACAGTTTACACACAGTCTCGGTGTACGAACAAACGCAATGGCGCAATTGAAAAAATAAGACACATAAATAATAAGTAAAAATCCGAGTTTTTGAGAGAGTCAAATAGGATTTGAGCATATACCATATATTTATACTAATATTTAAGAATTAAATTATATTTTTTTAAGAAGGAAGAGTTAGTGGGAAAAAGTAAATATTTATAATTATCATTTATAATTACAATTATAGAAATAAATACTTAAATAAGGGCGGTAACTCGATATCTTTAAAAGAAAATCTAGAATTCAAAAACAATCATTTATAAAAAAAAAAAGCCGGAAAGTATTGTATGCTGACGATTATGAAGATAATGACATAACATAAATCATGCTAGTATTTAAATTTCAATTATTTTCCAGTTCATAAAATAATTTAAAATAACTGTAGAATTTAAATCCTAAAATAACAGCTTTATAAAACTAGATCTTTCTATTTAATCTAGTCCAATTTTTAAATCGGTATATATGTCAGTCAATGAATAATAAAATTTTGGCTCCCTAATTCAAGGGAAAATCGTATAGTCGTTAAAGTCCAGGGGTCGGCAACCTTTTGAAGAGGAAGAGCCAAAAGTTACAATTTTCAAAATTTCCCTGGTTTTAAAGAGCCACTAACAATTTTTTATTTCAAATATTTTATTTTTTGATTAAGATTATTAGTATTTGTGCAAGGAGCTGGAGAGCCGCATTTTGATATCAAAAGAGCCGCATGCGGCTCCCGAGCCGCAGGTTGCCGACCCCTGTATAGTCGAACCCGAATAAAAATAAAATAAAAATAAAAATAAAAAATAAAAAAATAAAAAAAGTAGTCGAACCCGAATGTTCGAAGTGTGGCAGCTATCACACCACTATATCCGCCCATTTATCTAGACTTCGATCTTTAACATCATGTTCACCAAACACTGAACAAAATAACTAGCAGATGGCAGATAAAAGTTACTAAAGTAAACGACACAAACATTCACTAAAGAGTTCTAAAGATTAGTCTATATGATAACTGTTTACAACAAGACGAACTTTAATAACATTTTGAATAACACAATAGCTTGTTGTTTTTACACTTGCTGCAGCTTGTTGTCGCCTGGTTGTGCGATTGTTGCAGTCAGCGTAGCCTTGACCGCCTGTCTGGGATTATAAGGAAGGGATGGTCGTAAAGATTTGTCTTCCGTGCACACTGCCGCCAACGTGAGCAGTTATTCGTGCAGAATGGGATGCTCACTTCTGGAATAGTGACATGAGAACACTAGGCATCTAGTAGACGGATACGTACATTATCTCCGACCTCCGCTTATTGGAATTTTGCATGTGATTTAGATAATATCTTAGCATGTTGAGTTTACAAACTAACATGAGCTGCTGACCTCACGTTCAGTTTCTAGTTTATTCTATCGTCGTCTGCAAGTGATGTTCACTCCGTAACTTACATCTGCTTCATTACTTATTCCGTAAACTGCATGGAAATCGTTGCCACAAGAACGGGCTGCACTACATTCTGTTTGCAACACATTACACGGAATCTGTTGGCATTGCTATTGTCACGTCACGGATGGTGCTCCGCCAAGGAAACAGGTTTGTTAACTCAGGAAGTTGTTGCATTTATAGAATCCCCCTGTCCGCAGTCGATGTTCTCATGATCTTCCTCTGTAACTATCGACAAACTTGCAGGGCAGATCGCACCTAAACCCTGTCGGCCTTAAATACATATCGGCTCTTTTACCATGTCGGCCTTCTGTTCATGTCGTCTTTCAAATAGAATGCTAACCAAACATAAGCCGAGGAATACATTACTCACAATGATGAAAAAGCAGCCAAAATAATTAAAATACAATCACACCTTCACCTTCATCAGACATTGGCCAGGGCATCAGGTCAATGTCAGAAATACACTGTACAAATAAAGCTCATCGAACATTGGCCAAGCACATTGGCCAGTTCGCAAAGTGCTCTTAGTTCCAAACTATGACAGTTCTACAGACTCTAGCTGTCCAAACTATGACAATGCAAACAACAGGCCCAGGATGCAACACACCGGAAGTATTAGATTAGCATATCTTGCACTCAGCCACTGGATACCCCACTATCCACAGAGCTGTTAGCAATCTGTTAATGGGGTTTAAACTTACACAAGCCTGTTTTTTTTTATGTTTGGTGGGGATTTAACGTTAAACCAGCAATTTATCTGAAAACTGGGGTTTAGCCCATGGTGTTACGTTATAGTGCTGGTCTAAAACTGGTTGGTTAGAATTGATGTGCTATTAAGGAGAGAGCCGATATAGGTGTGTACGTCTGTTGGTGTGTGTGTGTGTGTGTGTGTGTGTGTCGGTGGTGGATGTTTAATGATGCTCAAATTAAGTCTTTGATGTGTGTGTGGGTGTCGGTGGTGGATGTTTAATGATGCTCAAATTAAGTCTTTGATGTGTGTGTGTGTGTGTGTCGGTGGTGGATGTTTAATGATGCTCAAGTTAAGTCTTTGATGTGTGTGTTTGTCTGTGTGCATGTGAGGTGGGTTGTCCAATATACAAGCTGAAAGCTTTCAGTGCTTTAGATGGATGATGATGGTTTCGGTACAATCGCACCGAAATTTAAACGAAGCGCTTACGAACAAATAATTTAAGCTTTTAAATACACTTAGAAAAATAAATGTTTTTTTTAGATATTTTAGCGACCAACGCTTTTCTGATTCGAGAATGTTAATTAATAAAAAGTAAAACCCTTGGTAATTAACAATGTCAATTAATGAAATAAGTAAGTAGTCTGTTAAATAACAATTTTAATCAACAAAATAAGTAAAACCTCTGGTAATTAACAATATTAATCAATGAAATAATTATGAGTTTTCTGACTCGCCAAAGTTAATTAACATGAAAAACAGTGCGGGTTACTCACCAATGACCACGACCTTGGCCCTGAAGGGTGTGCAGAGTGCAGCTTTCTTGAGCGGGCAGTAGACGCTGATGAGCTTCTCTACACACAACGCCACGGGGTACCAGATACACAGGAAGATGAAGACAAAGTTGAAGTAGGTCACGTACTGACACACTCCTGACTGGGGAGAGATGGGGAGGTTTAGTCACGTGATGGGACACTCATGACTGGGGAGAGATGGGGAGGTTTAGTCACATGATGGGTCACTCCTGACTGGGGAGGGATGGGGAGGTTTAGTCACGTGATGGGTCATTCTTGACTGGGAGGGATGGGGAGGTTTAGTCACGTGATGGGACACTCCTGACTGGGGAGAGATGGGGAGATTTAGTCACGTAATGGGACACTCCTGACTGGGAGAAATGGGGAGGTTTAATCAGGTGGTGGGACACTCCTGACTGTGGATATATGGGGAGATTTATCACGTAATGGGACACTCCTGACTGGGAGAAATGGGGAGGTTTAGTCACGTGATGGGACACTCCTGACTGGGAGAAATGGGGAGGTTTAGTCACGTGATGGGACACTCCTGACTGGGAGAAATGGGGAGGTTTAGTCACGTGATGGGACACTCCTGACTGGGGAGAGATGGGGAGGTTTAGTCACATGATGGGTCACTCCTGACTGGGGAGGGATGGGGAGGTTTAGTCACGTGATGGGTCATTCTTGACTGGGAGGGATGGGGAGGTTTAGTCACGTGATGGGACACTCCTGACTGGGGAGAGATGGGGAGATTTAGTCACGTAATGGGACACTCCTGACTGGGAGAAATGGGGAGGTTTAATCAGGTGGTGGGACACTCCTGACTGTGGATATATGGGGAGATTTATCACGTAATGGGACACTCCTGACTGGGAGAAATGGGGAGGTTTAGTCACGTGATGGGACACTCCTGACTGGGAGAAATGGGGAGGTTTAGTCACGTGATGGGACACTCCTGACTGGGGAGAGATGGGGAGGTGTTTAGTCACGTGATGGGACACTCCTGACTGGGGAGAGATGGGGAGGTGTTTAGTCACGTGATGGGTCACTCCTGATTGGGAAGAGATGGGGAGGTTTAGTCACATACTAACACACTCCTGACTGAGGAGGGATGGGGAGATTTAGTCACGCGATAGAATACACTCCTGACTTCCAAGAAGTGGGGAGATTTAGTCACGTAGTGGTACAATTCTGACTGATTTAGTCACGTTAATAAATCATTCGTAACCTGTCATTCAGTAGTTACGTCAACACATACAACAGATTCTGTGACCCCCATATGCTAGGAGCGTTTTTATAAGAACTAGGGTCAGGAAATATCGGGAATATCCTCTACTAAGTCCATCCGCCATTATGGGATTAACCAGAGGTTGAGCACGTAGGTCAAGGTCAGTCAGTGTATGATGTAATCCCACTAACCCCATCAGGGTTTTTTGTGCTCACGTTTGGTTGTGTCGATCGGTGATTTTGATGACATATGACGTAACATGTGACGTAACGTATGACAAGTTACGACAGATACTACATGACATGGTGTGAACCATGATATAGAACAAGTTACGATGATTTATGACACGAGTTATGTTTTATGACAGATCTTTTCACATACGTTGCGACATATTTCAGATTCTGTATGAGCGGTGAGATTGCTAGTCGGAAAGTATCTGATCAATATCTGATGAGAACTCTACTTCAACTGCCTTATCGACCGTACTATTTCATAGGGTTGTGTAAATGGGGACACTGGTGATACAGGGACACTGGTGATATAGGGACACTGGTGATACAGGGACACTGGTGATACAGGGACACTGGTGATATAGGGACACTGGTGATACAGGGACACTGGTGACACTGGTGCGTAGGGAGATTGGTGATATAGGGACATTGGTGATATAGGGCACTGGTGACATAGGGACACTGGTGATATAGGGACACTGGTGATATAGGGACACTGGTGATATAGGGACACTGGTGATATAGGGACACTGGTGATACAGGGAGACTGGTGAAATATGGACACTATACGGCCACTAGTGCTGTAGTGAATGCTTGGAATAAAATATACGGTATTTTAGATTGTACTGACGTTGCTAGCAAGTCAGGTTAAGTGTGGATCTGGGTGTCTAGATTAAGCGATCTCTACTAGGCTGACACTGAAAAAAAAAACAAATAAAAAAACACAACCTAAAAGATAACGGCCGATTTTTCGATAAAATTGCCTGAATATTACTTCCACGCGGGCGAAATATTGGAATCTTTCAAAGATTTCACAAAAGATAATTTGATTTATATCAAGGTCGTCGCGCCGGAAAGCAATGCATACATTTGTCAGTGGGTACGTGAGGGAGGGGCGGTGGTGGAACAAGAAGTGTACAGTGCTATTCCATCTTTTAAAAAAAAAGTTTTTTCAGTTTTCGATTTTTCAGATTATTTTACCCTTTCATCAACTCATCCACGGCCATAAGAGAGAGATTATTTTATCAATTTCCTGAGATTTATTTTTTTTTTAAAGAGATGCTTCCTCTAATGTAGGGCTAAACTATATTTTCTTTTACAGTATACCACATTTCACCAGACAGTGCGTAACTTCTCTAACCCAACGAACTTAAACACAAAGCGGTCCCACCTGTTCCTTCACAAATTACTCGAGCACAAGTTCAATTGGTACTTCCAGCTTAAACGAACCAGAAGATCGAGTTCTTCTAACACGTTCGACTGAATCTGAGTTTTAAGTTAGCTGTATAGTTAGGTTTGTGATCTTGTTAAAGCGTTATGACGATATTATGTCTCAGTTAAGGTTTAAGTTAATGAAGAAGTTGGATTCAATCTGAGGTTAACGTTAGTGGCACAGTTAGGTTTGTGATCTAGTTAAAGCGTTATGACGATAGTATGTTTTAGGTAAGGTTTAAGTTAATGAACAAGTTGGACTGACTCTGAGGTTAACGTTAGCGGCACAGTTAGGCTTGTGATCTAGTTAAAGCGTTATGACGATCTTATGTCTCATTTAAGGTTTAAGTTAATGAACAAGTTGGATTAAACAGTTATCCCCTTCCGTTTTTTCTCTTAACGTGGAAGACTCCTGGTTAAAATGCGTTTCCCACTTCGCAAGGATAGTTCAGATTGTTATTTATTCCTCGTATTTTGTGTTAAAATGTAACATGGATTCTATCATAAGTGAGATCGCATATTCTATCAGAATTTTTAAACACGTTATGTAACATATCTTTATTACTTCTACTATGTCGTAACTGAAAATTTAATAAGAGTCGCAAAAGAAAACACAAGTAATATTTCTTAACTAATATCGATTAGTGTAGAAAAAAAAGTAGGATACTATTCAGTCGTCACTGAAAACTCGTATTCCCAAAAAATTATTTTTGTAAAATCTGAAAATTGTAGGTTACGTGAAAATTGGAAACTCGAAAAATAACCGAATGAAAAATTCATCATTAAAAAATAAATGGATGAGGGTAGTCTCAAGCCAGACCACATTTCGTACAATCCAATCCAGCAATGTGACCCCCTCGCATTATGAGTGATCAATTATGTAACACTTGATGCAACACGAGCTGCAAGCAGTAGCCAATCAGCGTCTACAAAAACAGCGCATGCGCGTCAGGAAACCTAGGCGCTCTAAAAATAGAAGATGGATCTCGGGTTGAATGGCCCCGACAGTAAAGTATTGCAGGAGACATACATCGACACAGGGGGCGCTACTTGACGTGTCTATAGTGATGGTTGCTATTTCTAGATTTTTCTCTTATTGGGCTAGTTACATTTAAAAAAAAAAAAAAGCAAACTTGTCATTTTTTCACAACCTAGTTAACTTTTATTTTGTGATTTTTTAAAAGGGTGACTTTTTTTTTAAATGGCCTAAATAAAACTAAAAGGATTGTTGCCTGTTGTAAAAACAAACCGATCTCGAAAAAAAATAGTTTCTACAGAGCTTTGACGGTAAACCTTAATGTTTTATTTGTATTCAAATGTAATTAATAGCTGAGAGAATCACACTCATGTTTTTTCATGGGTGTTAGGGTCCTGGTAATGCATAGTTATTGGGGAGATAGGGTACTGGTGGCATATGACACTGGTGACACAGGGTCACTGGTGACACAGGGTCACTGGTAGTACAGGGGTACCAGTGACACAGGGCACTGGTGACTCGGGGCACTGGTGATAAATAAACAAAGGTGATATACGGGCCTATGGCGATGCATTGACGCTGGTGATATATGAACCAGGGTGATCCCGAGTAAGTGGTGATTATGGGACTGTCATAATGAAGAAATACTGGCAATATAGGTGACACATGAACACTGGTGATACATGGGCTCTTCAAGTGATATATTGTATAAAGAAAAAGTTGTGATCTAAAAATGCCGATGATCAAGAAACAGTTTTTACAAAAATGTCAATGAGTCCACTGGTCTTGAAAGACTGTGATAACCTCCTTATTCCACCGTGATATCTCTGGTTCTATCATCAAAAAGTGTATCCACACATTTTGGCGTTATTCCTATAATCTAATATTTTCCCGTCATCCTCAGATTTTTCTATTATGATAGTGGAATTTTCAGAGCTCCTAGAAAAACTCTTCTTACTGCCGATGTAGGACTTCTCATAACAATTCAAGGATGTTTATTTTTATTTTTAGAACTTCTTGGATACCGTTGTAATGTACGTCACGTTGGGTCGCAGCCAGACTCGTCCTAGACTCGTTTCCATGGTAACCGGATCAGTGCACAGGAACCCACGTGACGAATGGGCGGTGACAGTTTTAAGAACCTTAGTTCAAGAGGGGGAGATAACTTTATTCTTTTTGTTCTTCCTTCACACCAGCAGGGGCAGATAACCAGCTGTCAGTGTGGTGTATTGATCAGATGTAACTACTTGAGAGTGGGTTTTTTGTTTGGTTAAACCCTGCCCACCTTAGCATAGAGGTACGTTTTGTAAGGTCTGAGAACAAGGTGTTGATATAGGTGATAGGAAAAAGGGAAGTAGCGATATCGACCGTGGCCGAAAAACTCATTTTAATACAAAAGTGGTCTAGAAAAACTCGAATCCTCTTCTTCTTTCTGAATTATAAATTTGAGATTTCATAGGCATAAGTATTAGGTGTCACCCTGTTATGAGCCATATAGTCCACTGACTCTCATTTCAGCCTGCTTTTCTTTTTGGATTTGCTTCCGCAGTCTTTGTCTATCCAAGAATAAACTACAAGGCAGAAGTTGTTTGACTTTAGAGTTGTCTCTCCTTGATGGGTTGCTGTCCCCAGGTATCGTACCTCATCTGCCCGGGAGGTTCGCGCTCGGGATTTCTCGGTTTAGAAGCCATGAGCTTTACCGACCCGACCACACCGACACCTTTCGAGTACTCTTGCACTAAAATATTATACAAACTCGCATATTAAGTGCGGGACGGCGGGGTCGAATGGTACAGCGTTCGACTGCTGAAAGTCTCGAGTCTGTTGGACGTCCCTGAGTCCACTCAGCTCTAATGGATACCTCACTCACTACGCCGAGGTCACTGAAACATATGACATCTTCCCCTACCAAATGAACGTAAAGTTAGAAAAGGCGCTTTTCTTAAAATCTTACTAAATAAATAGTGGCGATTAATTGCAAATGGAAAATTCAGTTTTTAAGTAATGAGAGGAAATGATGCAATTAAACCAAGTCCATCTGTTGGAGGGCTGTTTGAAAAATCCGTTGACATTGTTTTTTCGCCTTATTCCTAAATTACCTATAAAATAGCGTGAAAGTCTGTTTGGTTGAGGCCAGAGACAAACAAAAGACATGACCGTCCATCATTGCATGACCCAACGCCCATGTCAACCACATAACAAAACTACTTTATTTAGACTATTTTTTGAGAGAAACAATAACCGGAACTTAGAAACACGGTAAATAACTAATCGTTCAACGATCCAACGAACCGAACATTGATCAGACAAGAACATTAACATGTGATCTGATGCAGAGTAACATTCAAACATACACAATAACAACAAATCGCACCAAACATGCGAGAGCTCATAACTTTCAACAAAATTATCAGTTCATGAACAAACCCCAGCCAAACACTCCGTGGCATGAATAGACTAACCACGCACAAAAAATGCTTCCAATGCTAAGATCCAGCCTAAACACTAACCCAATGAATTGACCAATACATGGCCTTACTTCCAACAATACAATCCACATTAAACCTAACCTTATGTACCGACACATAACCACATTCAACACCATACTATAATTAATCCTCAACCCTAACGCAATGAATAACCAACTACATAAAAAACAAATCGTCCAACACAATAATCCACTTTAAACCTAATCCTTACTCACCCACGTGATGAGGTTCAGCCCGTGTTGCACTAATCCCATCTGAATGAACTCGGTCACCAAGGCCCCACTGTCCACGACAGACATGGCTGCTAGATACGGCACCGACGGAATCTTACGTAACCGTGTCCGTGTGAACACCAGGTAGGACAAGACGTTCGACAGGACACCTATGGCCATGATGGCAGGGCAGGTATAGTAGCTCAGCTTCATCACCATCGGCAGCGTCATCGACACCATCCTCTCAGATGGGTTGAAATATTTCGGCGCTCTGGTTCTGGTACCGTTTGCCAGGAAGAGCTGGGTGGCGTTGTCCATTTGGCTGACCGGACGGACGTGGCCCATGTTTAGTATGTCGCTGGAAGCGTCCTCAAAGGAGGAGACGTTGAACTCCTGCAGGTGTAGAGGGAGAATCATCCTGTCGAAGTAGTCCGTCATGTTGTGCGGTATCATCCTTGATGCCGGATGCGTTCTAGAATCACACGCCTCAAGACATGTGATGGATGATTATCCACAAATGCAGAAAATTATATTCCATTAATTTTATTATCTTATCGATATATAGAATTCCATCATAGAAAATGTGTGTAATGATTTTGTCAAAGCTATATTATCCGATACAGAAATAAACACAGGCAGGCTGTTTTAACACAGACAGGCTGTTTTTAAGCACAAGTGGGCTGCACATTTTCGTAGATCGGTTTCTCTTGTGAAGATTCCATTTCCGTGTTTTGTAGCCAGAAGATCTGCCCACCCTGACTCTCACGTGACTGATGTAAAATCCAGTTGACCGCAGACTGAACGACTCACCGCATGCACGTGCATGCCACTCACGTGAAAGACCCAGGTACCAGATTCTAGTCACGTCCAGGGCGGACGGAGTTATCGGACTTCATTGTTCAGGTTACCTCCCTCGGTGGTTGAACGTATCCTAATAGCCCCACACCCACGGGCTATTGCTGGGTGTCAACACTGCCCGTCCCCGGCGGGACCTGGGGTGGTGTAACAGCAGGAGCTGGGGGCGTTCAGCGGCTCATTGTGTCCCGGCCCTCACTCGGATTGCTGCTTGTGTCTGCACACACTCGGCCCCTGGGAGTAAAAAAACAGTGAATTAGTGAGAGGAGCAGCACATCATAACTACAGAATTAACATGCTGAAGTGGGATGACGCTAACAGCAACAAGGATTCAATAAAAAATATTTTGACGTCATTAACTGTTTGCGTGGAGAAAGTACATCTGTTTTTGCAATGTTCTATACATAGACAGGAAGTTCTTCATAAAGGGCGTTACGCTTCAAGAGAGGGGTTGGGTTTATGACGATTGTTACGAATGGTGTGTATGAAAATGTGACGTAGTATATTATAAAAAATGTTTATAATATTAAAAAATTAAACAAAATATTGAAAAAAAAAAAAAACTAGTGAGTCTCCTTTTAATTATGGCTATTTTAGGATGGTACATGAAACTTGATCACGTTATTTGTGAACGGGGGATACATGTACAGAATTTGCGTGACTTCCTGTATAGACAAGCCCAGCGACGTTGCAATTAGTGTGATATTTTATTGTGATATTTTTAACGTATTGACGACATTCAAACCACACGCTGGTAGAGTACAACATGCAGCTATGATGTGATGTTTGTTGACAACTGAACACCGTCACAGATAGTTGACAGGTGATCAGAGAAAACATAGACAGTTTATATACGGAGAATGTACTCATCAACTCTACATCGAACAATGGGGACATTACTCAGGTTTTGTTGACATTTTGTTTTAGATAAGGGTGTAAATATTTACCAATACTACGTAAGCACGTGCAGTAATCAGAGCTGTATATCATAATACTCAGTTCACTTAACCTCAGGTATTAAATTATTATCTTTATAATTTAGATCAGTCAACTAACCTCAGTTATTAAATAACTATCTTTATGATACACATAAACAATGTATTTTGTTTTTAAAACGAACACGGATTCGACAATTTTATTTGTTTAGAAATGAGGCATTGTATCGTTAAATTTTATGTATGTTAAAAATTTTGGACCCTGCGTTGAAATGTTTGTATATACTTAACGAATTTCAATGCTTTTAAAAATGGAGAAGGACTATTAAAACAAATGTTTGATACTAATTTTCATTGCTGTTGTATTAGTATCACGTTTTAAAAAACACAAATAGAACCGCAGCAATTATTTCTAGGAGATACATTTAGCTCAGGAGACAACGGCTGAGGAAAACACATCAACACCTAATTAAAAAAAAAAGAACACCGCGTAATTGTGTCGTCTAGATGGATAGCATAGAGCGAGATGAAGTAAAATGCACTGGGCTGATCTGCCGGGGCTTCAATGATCTATAGCTTTCTCCTGCTCATTCAGTACCTTAGTATTGGAAATGTCAACTGGTTTGAGATGAAGCTTCGAGAATCCCAGTTAGTCAAACCCACCGCTTCAATCTAAAAAGAAACTACATATAATTCAGTTATGTTTTATCCTTCCTTATAACGGTATTTTTGTCGAGCCAAGACTTCCTGGATTATTTGAAGTTCGGAGTAGAGGAGGAGAGCTAATGGCTGCTAACTCCTAATGTTCCGAGTTCGGATCCCGCGCAGATTAACTTGGGGACAGCGAGACATCTAGAAGAGAAACTAAAAAAACAGCAGCTGCCTTTCAGATTTTTATTGTGTGAACTAAGGGTATGGAAGCAAAAGCAAAAAGAAATGCAGGCTGAAGTCGGGGTCAACGTGAATTATTAACACGCAATAATTGTGTTAAAATTACAATTGAGAACGAAGATGAAGAATTCAAACGCTTCTTTGTGATGTCGCAATGCCCCCTTCATTGTCGTTTAGATTTCCATACTCATATGTAAAATTAAAAAGGTTTCAAATGGTCATTTTATGGATTGTTTAGAGGATGGAATTAACCTTTAAAAAAATGAGACTAAAGATAAGTTTACGTCGGCATGTATTAAGATATTGATAACTATCCATGAGAAGTTGGATTGGAAGAGAAACTGAAATAAAACTTTATTGCTGCGCCTTGCCAACGAGTAAATAACTGCTGTTTGGTGACTATTTGTGAATACCGGGAGGAGCATGGGAATAGGGCTGGTAAGTAGGTCACCAACTAGTTCTACGGCTCAATAAAACCTGCATGAGCCTTAAAACTGGTTGGTGCCCTACTCACCAGCCCTATTATATGAAAACGTTGTTTGCTATTCTTTTTATAAAACCTACCACTAACCACTAATGTATAAGAAATATCGACAATGGCTTCGCAGTGATTCTCAACTATACATATATAAATAGTTAAACTAAAATTACCCTTAGTAGAATAAAAAATACTCTGTTCGGTTAACCAAAGTCAAGTATGTTTATCAGTCTGCTCATATTTGCCTGGAGATGTAAAAAAAATCTCTTCTCAAGAACTGCACAAACACTTTGCTGGTTCAGACAGGCTTAACCAGCCGGCTGCAACCGCCGGAAGTGGAATGCATAAGAGATAAGACTCCCGGAGCGTAAGATATATATAGCCAATCAGCGACGGAGAAGGTCTGAAATATATGTAAATGATAGGCCAATCAGGTAAGTGTATTGGGGAATAAGTTTTCCTTCGGCTTCCCGATTTCCCCCACTCCACCGGCGTAAATTTTATATATATATATATATATATATATATATATATATATATATATATATATATATATATATATATATATATATATATATATAGGCATTAAACAATCGCTAACTGGTCTATACACTCTCCAAATCATGGAACAGAACGTGTTGCACATTGTAATTAATATCACTCGTTGCTAGGGACCTCAGGTCTGTCCATCGCTTAAAGCAGATGGGGTGGGGGCAGCATCTGTAATTACAACCGGAAACAGGAAACACGCCCATCAATCTTGCAGAATTGGATCCGCCTGTTTCACGTGGCCCTGGCTTGGCAGACGTCCAGCATATCAATGAAATAACTGTCAATTCTCTACACCCCCACTCACCCACTCTCTTTCTTAGCCTGACCCACCTGTGGTCAACTTACGACCAGAGTGGTCAAGTCGACGGCTGGGTGTATTTGATTCTAAGAACTGACTTCCACATCGAGGCTCTGTTGTAGCAAACTTAAGTTTTCAACTGCTCAAGGTGTGAGATGGTTTTGTGGTACTTTACACTGGTCGGTTGTGAGGTTGTTTATAAGTTTACCTTGGTCGGTTGTGAGGTTGTTTATAAGTTTACACTGGTCTGTTGTGAGGTTGTTTATAAGTTTACACTGGTCGGTTGTGAGGTTGTTGTTTATGAGTTTACACTAGTCTGTTGTGAGATTGTTGTTTATGAGTTTACACTGGTCTGTTGTGAGGTTGTTGTTTATGAGTTTACACTGGTCTGTTGTGAGGTTGTTGTTTATGAGTTTACACTGGTCTGTTGTGAGGTTGTTGTTTATGAGTTTACACTGGTCTGTTGTGAGAATGTTGTTTATGAGTTTACACTAGTCTGTTGTGAGGTTGTTGTTTATGAGTTTACACTGGTCTGTTGTGAGGTTGTTGTTTATGTGTTTACACTGGTCTATTGTGAGGTTGTTTATAAGTTTACACTGGTCTGTTGTGAGGTTGTTGTTTATGTGTTTACACTGGTCTATTGTGAGGTTGTTTATAAGTTTACACTGGTCTGTTGTGAGGTTGCTGTTTATGAGTTTACACTGGTCTTTTGTGAGGTTGTTGTTTATGAGTTTACACTGGTCTGTTGTGAGGTTAGTGTTTATGTGTTTACACTGGTCTGTTGTGAGGTTGTTGCTTATGAGTTTACACTGGTCTGTTGTGAAGTTGTTTATAAGTTTACACTGGTCTGTTGTGAAGTTGTTTATAAGTTTACACTGGTCTGTTGTGAAGTTGTTTATAAGTTTACACTGGTCTGTTGTGAGGTTGTTTATAAGTTTACACTGGTCTGTTGTGAGGTTGTTGTTTATAAGTTTACACTGGTCGGTTGTGAGGTTGTTTATAAGTTTACACTGGTCTGTTGTGAGGTTGTTTATAAGTTTACACTGGTCTGTTTGAGGTTGTTTATAAGTTTACACTGGTCTGTTTGAGGTTGTTTATGAGTTTACACTGGTCTGTTGTGAGGTTGTTTATGAGTTTACACTGGTCTGTTTGAGGTTGTTGTTTATGAGTTTACACTGGTCGGTTGTGAGGTTGTTTATAAGTTTACACTGGTCGGTTGTGAGGTTGTTTATAAGTTTACACTGGTCTGTTTGAGGTTGTTTATAAGTTTACACTGGTCGGTTGTGAGGTTGTTTATAAGTTTACACTGGTCGGTTGTGAGGTTGTTTATAAGTTTACACTGGTCTGTTGTGAGGTTGTTGTTTATAAGTTTACACTGGTCTGTTGTGAGGTTGTTGTTTATAAGTTTACACTGGTCTGTTGTGAGGTTGTTTATACGTTTATACTGGTCTGTTGTGAGGTTGTTGTTTATAAGTTTACACTGGTCGGTTGTGAGGTTGTTTATAAGTTTACACTGGTCGGTTGTGAGGTTGTTTATAAGTTTACACTGGTCTG